CAATATAGTGGAAGATTTGGAGAGAAAAAAGGGAAGTGAAAAATGTAATTTCATTAGAATTTAAAAAAAAGTAAAATAAAAAAGGTATAAGAAAAAGAGAGAAAACTCACTATTTTAAAAGGTTGTGGAACTGAACAGAAAGTTCTCACTAGAAGAAATACAAAAGCTAATAAACACTTTAAAAGTGTTTAACATCATTAGCAATTAGAGAAATTCAAATTAAAACTACACTGACATTCCCTCTCATCCCAATTAGAACGCCTATCATCAAAAAAAAAAATCAAATGACAACAAATTCTGGTGAGGATGTTGGGAAAGAGGAACTCTATTCCATCGAGTATAAACTGATGCAGCCACTTTGGAAATCAGTATGGAAGTTCTAAAAAAGCTACAAATAGAACTACTATATGAACCAGATATATCACTCCTGGGTAGATGCCCCAAAGACTCCATATTCTACTACAAAGATATTTGCATGCCCATGTCCATTGCTACTTTATTTACAATAGCAAGGAAACGTAATTGGCTTAGATATTCACCAACTGATGAATGGATAATAAAAATTCAAGCTGTGTGGTGGTGGTGCACACCTTTAATATCAGCACTTGGGAAACTGAGACAAGTGGATCTCTATGAGTTCAAGGCCAGTCTGGTCTACAAAGCGAGTTCCAAGACAGCCAGAAGATCTGTCTCGAAAAAAAGAAATAAAAGGAAAAAAAAGAAAGAAAATTAACAAAGATAAAAAGAAAGCTAATGAAACTATGAAAGTCAGAGATAAATGGATGGAGCTGGAAACAATCATTTTGAATGTGGTAACCCAGACACAGAAAAACAAATGTCACAAGTTCTTTCTTATTTGTGGATCCTAGCTCTGAATCTTTAGGATTGATTGTATAACTTGGAATAACTGTAGAAACCAGGAACAAAAAGATAATTGGTAGAGGGTGAAGAAGGAGCTCTAGAATTAGGAATAGCAGGATACAGTGGGAAAGGAAAAACAGAGGGACTTAACTGGGAAAGGGGAGGAAGGAAAATAGAGGGAAAGGAAGGAAAGAGGGATAAATATCACTAAGGATGTCTGGTAAAGTCATAATGAAATTTATTACTTTATAATCTTATTTAAAGATGCAAATATAGCCAGGCAGTGATGGCACATGCCTTTAATCCCGGCACTTGGGAGATAGAAGCAGGTGGATCTCTGAGTTTGAGGTCAACCTGGTTTACAGAGTGAGTTCCAGGACAACCAGGGCTGTTACACAGAGAAATCTTGTCTCGAAAAAAAAATCAAAAAGAAAAAAGTACATACAATACATATGTTCTCTCTTTCTCTTTCTCTTTCTCTCTCTCTCTCTCTCTCTCTCTCTCACACACACACACACACACACACACACATACACACATACTCACACATTTTAATACAGTTACCCTACACAGTGAAATAATATTTCCTGGGAACTATAGACTAATAAAAACCCCAGAGTGTTAGTGTGTCAGGCAAAGGATATCTCCTTTTGAATTGTTGGGTGGGGTCCAAGAGACTCTCCAAAACAATATAGGCAATTTTCATTGCTCTTGGCTACCTGCCAAAATATGAAGATAATATCCTACCACACACTTTCATCATGAACCTTGGAGGAATTGAGCTACTATTAACCTGGAATCCCCCTTCATGAGGACTAGCACTCATACTATCAGAAGGTGCTATGCAAGCTACCATGAAAGAAAAGTTATTCTCAGTCCTACCCAGTTGTACAGTCCAAGAGCAACAACAATAATGAAACCAGCAAGATGCCTCAGTAGTGAAATAGCAGTACTTGTATCTTGGGAGTAACAAACACCTGCCTAAATTGGATATAAAATCAATTCAGTTGGAGGGAACACATAGCCTGGTATGTAAACCTAGACAAGAACCTGTGGCTGAAGAGATCATAGACCCTACAAAAAGAACCCACTACTACTCTATAATTAAAGTAATATAGTATCTACCTGCCTTCTAAACACCCATCCTTATACCATAGATAAGTACAGCTCTGACATCTCATCAAAGAAGATTCCTTTTGAAATAGAACAACTTGTCAAAATACAGAGAATAATAACCATGGGAACACAATCCCAAATGCAACATCTCTAACTAAGTGGGTTCAGGAAACATGCAAGGAAAAGCGGGCAGAAAGATTGTAAGATCCTGAGGACCAGAATGACTGCTTTTGATAGTACCTACTGGACAGAACAGGCATGGTCTACCATGAACTCAAATTTGAGCGGAAGTTGGGGGTGGGGACATGAGAAAAGTTGGAGGGCAAAAAGGGGGTAAAATGATGCAAATACAGTATACTCATGATTAGTCTTGAACTTTCTAGAAATTGAAACTAAAACAACTGGTTATAGTTGTGCACACTTTTAATCCCAGAATTTAGGAGGCAGAGTCAGGTGAATATGAGTTCTAGGCTATCCTGGTCTACAAAGTGAGTTCCAGGACAGCTGGAGATATATAGAGAGAACATGTCTCAAAAACAAAACAACTATTTCATTTGTTCCAGCAAATACCACCAGAGAATCTGTTTGCTAAAATAACAACATGTCTGGGACTGTATTTCAGTGATAAAGCACTCATGAATAAAATAGGAGGCCTGAAGTCCACCCCAAACACCACAAAATAAGTGAAAGCCTAAGTGAATGAATGACCTACATCAGTACACTATGATACTGGATAGAGCCCACCATCCAAAATGATAATGATAAGAATGTGTTTACTTGTATGACACAGCTCTTATACAGATATTAAAAAGAATGTATTAAGGTTGTGTCTACTGACCTATAGAGAATTCTACAAGGTGCTTCTGAATGAAAAAGTAAATAAAGTATGTATAGTATTCTAGTTTTTAAAAATTAGTAGTGTGTGTGTGTGTGAGTGTGTGTGTGCATGCACACACTGTGTGTTGAATAAGACTGGGTGATGTGGGAGAAGAATGAGGAAGTGAAACATAAACAACCAGAAATACTTATGCAGTATCTATGATATGACTCTATGTAGCATTTACATTAATACAATATATACATTGTATTTAAATTCTCCCCATCTCTTTTGTTATTTTGTGATAGGGTCAAGAGCAGTCAGGTCTGACAATGAACACACTATGTAGCCAAACCTGGACATAAATGCCTGATTTTCCTGCTTTCATATTCATGACTATGTTTAAATTTTTATAGTACACATTTAAAGAAACACAGTGAAACGGAAGTGGCCACCTTTCCTTTCTGCTGGGAACCAGCTGCTCGCTGTTGAAATGGGCAAGTTCATGAAACCCGGGAAAGTGGTGCTCGTCCTGGCTGGACGCTACTCCGGACACAAAGCCGTCATCGTGAAGAACATTGATGATGGCAGCTCAGACCGCCCTTACAGCCATGCCCTGGTGGCTGGAATTTACCGCTATCCCCGAAAAGTGACAGCTGCCATGGGCAAGAAGAAAGTCGCCAAGAGATCCAAGATCAAGTCCTTTGTGAAGGTTTATAACTACAACCACCTGATGCCCACAAGGTACTCTGTGGACATCCCCCTGGACAAAACTGTTGTCAACAAGGATGTCTTTAGGGACCCAGCCCTGAAACACAAGGCAAGGCGGGAAGCCAAGATCAAATTTGAAGAACGATACAAGACAGGGAAGAACAAATGGTTTTTCCAGAAGCTTCGCTTTTAGGTATATTTTTGTTTGCATCATTAAAAGTTTTAAAAAAATAAAAGAAACACAGTGAAAGACCAGCACTGTGGTGTACGCCCTTAATCCCAGCACTTAAAAGGCAGAGACAGGATGATCTCTGTGAATTCAAGAGCAGCCTGGTCTACAAAGTGAGTTCCATGACAGTCAGTGCCACAAAGTGAGACCTTGTCTCAGAACGAAACAAAACAAAAAATAAAGATAATTTAAAAAAAAGTCAGGTGGTAGTGGCACAAGCCTTTAATCCCACCACTCAGGAGGTAGAGGCAGGTGGATATCTGTGAATTCGAGGCCAGCCTGACCTACAAAGCGAGTTCCAAGATAGCCCAAACTGCTACAAAGAGAAACCCTGTCTCAAAACAAAACAACAACAAAGAAAGTCAAAACAAAAAACACACTAAAACGTAAAATAAGTAATTTCAGCATTCAACTTGATAAGCAAAAAATAGAAGAACAAAGTGATCCAAATAAAATTAGAAAGAATTGATGGATGAAATTGAGAAGCAGAAACTGCAGTAATAGAAAGACTAAAAAAATTTATAAATAAACCCAAAATATATTTGTTGACAAAATCCAATAAAATCAGGAAATGTCCTGTAAGTATTATTTTTAAAAGGAGAAAGAGAAAAAGATGGAAGGATGTAGAGGGAGAGAAATGTCAAGAATGACAAGGGAGATATAGTCCAGACAGTACTTTAACAAAATAATAGACTATCATATAATTCAGTTTCAATACCTTATCGAATCAAGGTATAATAGATTTGAGAAGATGTAGAAAAATTGAAATAAGTTAGTGACAATTATAACACTGAGGAGCTCATTTAATGGTCTAATCTCATCATATAAACCAGAGTCCCTTCCTAAAGATGAAAAGCTTCTTATGCAAGGGCAAATATCAGACAAAAGTCTACCATATGCATACTCCTGAGAATTTCACTGTTCTAGTTCTTTCTATGGAAGGTTGGGGTAAGCTAAGGGGAATTCTACTCTTTCTCTCCCATGCTCCTTGTGTCTTCTCTCTCCCTCATCCCATACTTCTCTCTAAACCACAGTGCCAACATGCAACAAAGAATCAATGATCAAACAACAAAAATCAATGAGTAACTTAGGTCCCTGAGAAGAAATGGCAAGCAACATGGTGCAAATAATCAGACTGCATGCACACCTTACCTACAAATGTTTGAAGGACTTAACTAAGTATTAGTCATCCACTTTTGCCTAGTGTCTGCATCTTGTAGTCAAAGACATAGCCTCACAATGTTACATTCAACAGAGCATATTTACCTTGTGTCCGTGTGCAGCACATTGAGTAAGTCACTCTGCCTATAGTTCCAGTACACTTCCACTGCACCTAGGTAATATCTTCTGGTGGCACTAGAGCAGAAATAGAAAAGGTTAAGAAAGAAGCAAGTGAAGAGTGCTATTTGCATGGCTTTTATTCCTAGAAAATGCTCAACTAGAAAAGTGAAAAATTAACTCTTCTCTAAAATATCTTTAGCTCTCAAGAAGAAAAAACGCAAAATATTTATGATTTAGTGAAAAGTCCTAAATATTTTGCAGAGGATTTTATGGAAATTTATCTTCTGAGAGTGACAGTAGCATTAGCACTAAACAGAGCTGAAAAGGATTACTTCCTTTTGGCAGTGCAAAGCAGGCACAGGAAAAACTGGAATAGGAAAAGGGTGGCTGAGCTAAGGCTTAACCCATTCCTCTCTGAGAGTATCCTACCAAGTTTGAGTCCTTGAGAAAAGGAACAGAATACTAAAGAAGAGGTTTTAATTGTACTCAGTTTCTTAGACTGTTCTAAAAGTTTCTTCCTCAGTACCAGCAGCAAAGAAACTTTGGGATTTACCAGATCCCAGTTCGTTTTCCCCACAGCAACTCTCCAGTTGTCCACCTGATCTAGAGACCCAGGAAAGACACCTGTGTCCTCTGTCCTGTTTATTGTTGTTGTTTCTGCTTTGTCAACTTAACATAAACCAGAGTTATTTGTGAAGATAAGTTTCAGTTGGAAAAATGTCTCCATAAGGTGGCCTGTGGAAAGTCTGTTGGGCATTTTCTTATTTAATGATTAATATGGGAGACCCAGGTCACTATAGGCAGAGCCACCCCTAGGCAGGTGGTTCTGAGTTATATAAAGAAAGCAGGCTGATGAAGCTATAAAGGGCAATTCATTAAGCAATGTTCCTCCATGGTCTCTGCTTCAGTTCTTGCATCCAGGTTCCTGTCTTGCTTGAATTTTTGCCCTGACTTCCATCACTGATGGACTGTTATCTGGAAGTACAAGCTGAAATAAACCCTGTCACCTCCACGATGCTTTTGGTCATGGTGTTTTATCACAGCTATAGAAACCTTAACTAAGACACCCTCCCTTCCCACAAAAACTAGAAACAAACTTACCATATGACCCATCTATACAACTCTTGGGCATACATCCAAAAGGAATCTACATATTACTATAATAATACGTGTATATCCATATTCATTGCTATCCATTTCACAATAGCCAAGAATTGGAAAAAGCCCGGAGGTCCATCAACTGAAGAATCGATAATGAAAATGCAGTACATTCACACAATAGTATACTATTCCATTTCTGTAAAGAAAAATTAAATTATCAAATTTACATGTAAATGCATAGAGCTGGAAATAATCATTCTCAATCAGGTAACCTAGATCCAGAAAGACAAATATTTCAGGTCCTCTCTCATATGTGAATGTTAACACTGAACCTTTAGATATGTGTTTTTAAATTGGAGTATCCATAGATATCAGAAGACTAGGCCAATTTCCTGAGGGCCGTGAGAAAGTTCTGATTAATCCCACAGGAAACAGCATTTTGTCAGCAAGGCAGATTTCAAGGGAAGTAGGTATGAAAAGAGAAGAGGACTAATTGAACAAGAAGGGTTAAGTAAGGATAAGGATGGGAAGACTAGAAAGAGAAGAGAGTATGGGAAGTAATTACTAACACTAAAGGTATTTGAAAAAGACATACGGAAACCTACTACTGTAGACACTTTCTAAAATACACATGTATAGATATATAAGAGTTCAAATGGAGTTCTCCCTACAACAGGGTGACAATTCACTACAGGCTAATAAATATCAAACCCAGTACCAGGAGTGGGTTACCTCTTTTGGAGTTGTTGGCCCCATGGACCTCCAAACATTATAGGCTATAGCTAATGTTACTGTCAATTATTCTACAGAACTTGATGGTGAGACCCTATTGCTGAAGATATAACATATCTGAGTCATAAAACTGACACAGACCTGGCTAACAAAAATAGAGGCAGGGGAAAGGAAGGAACGAACGAAGGAAGGAAGGAAAAGAAAGAAAAGAAAGAAAGAAAGAAAGAAAAAAAGAAAGGAAGAAAGAAAGAAAGAAAGAAAGAAAGAAAGAAAGAAAGAAAGAAAGAAAGA